GACAATTCACTAGCAAAATGCTAAAAGATCAGAAGAAATAACACAAGTCAAATTTACTAACAAATATCAAAAGACTAGAAAAAATACCACAAGACAATTTATCAACAAAACATCAAAGAAACAGAAGAAAGAACATTAGAAAAAAAATGCTGAAAAGAAATTATACAAAAAAAAGAAGAATAGTATAAACTACCCAAAGAAGAAACCAATAAATGCTGAAAGACCAAAAAAAATACTACAAGACAAATCACTAATTAAATGCCAAAGAATCAGAAAGAAGTATGGTTATACTACAGAATTCTGATACTCAAAATCCTGATGCTTAAAATCCCGACAACAAAATCTCAAAACACAAAATCCTGACAAATTAAAATCCTGACAGCATTAAAATCCCAACATTTAAAATCCCAACATTCAAAATCCCGACACTTTCAATATCTTAACAGAATTAAAATCTCAAGCTAAAATTTTAATTCTGCTGAGTTTTTGAAAGTATCGAGATTTTGAATGTCAGGATTTTGAATGTTAGGATTTTAATGCTGTCGGGATTTGTTGGGATTTTGTGTTTTGGGATTTTGTTGTCAGGATTTTAAACGTCGGGATTTTGAGTGTCGGAATTCTGTAATATAACCAGAAGTATTACAAATTACAATTATTAATTGTTTATATTTGATCTTTAATCTAAAAAATAATTGGTCGATTATTCAAATTCTGGGATTTGGTCAAAGAATCGAAATATACATAACCTAGAAAATCTTATCTACATTCATCCTATAGCAGAAAGTATTGTAAAAACTGAAAATATAATAACACCAAGTTGTTATATGGCAAAATTAAGACCTGGGATATCTATAAAAATGATGGCAGCAGAGTATATAGGTTAGTAGTATCTAGACAAATAAGTAAAAGAGTATACTTATCAATATAATACTAACTCTGTTATGTAATGAATCTAACTAGACAGAAGCCTCTAGCTTGAGATACAGATTTCCATATAAATTCTAAACATTGTTAGAATATTTTAAAAAATCAATAACAGGCATACCAAACTGGAAAATCATAAAGACCTATATCCCAAAAATTACTAATTTGAAAATTGTATAGTAACAAAAAGGTGAGAGATGCAGAAAACATAAGTATAGCTAAATATAGTAAGGATAGAAGGTTAAATTAGGTAGTATATGAGTAGGGTATATATAAATGCTGATCAAGCATGTAGCCGCCAACCTAGGACCAAAGGGAAATAAGTCAAGGACCCGGAGAAAGGCCAATAGCTACTGAGGCAGATCACACCTGGGCGTAAAGCTGGGTAAACCATTGTCCGAATAGGATTAGTTAGAGCTATAGATAGAAATGTATATAATTTGTAAAAAAACAAGGCTAATCTTAATAATAAAACAGTGGCAGGATTGCCGAATTAAAAAATAAAATAAAATAAAATAAAAAAATAAAATAAAAACACTAAACTTTGTAAAATAATTACCAAGTTATTTTTTACTCAGAGTTTTAAAACATCCAAAATATCTGAAATAACAATTATAATATGAACATAGGTATCTTTTTTTTTTATTTTGATTTTACAAAATCTATAGAATCAAATTAAAAAAATTTATCGAATTTAGTTGACTTTTGCTCAGAAGGCATCTAAAGGGTCTATAAAATAACACCGCGGCAAAAACTTGAACAAAGATATCTTGGCAACCACATAACTAAATTTTATAAAATTTTTTTATTTTGATTCTACAGAACTGTAAAATCAAGATAAAAAAAATTCATCGAATTTTGCCATGACATTTTCGTCAAAGTTTTACAAATTTTGTCGCAGGTTTTGATATAAACATTAGATGTTTTCAAAACTTTGAACGAAAATATCAGCAACCATCTAGCAAAATTCGAAAAACTTCTTTTATCTTGATTCTACAGACCTGTAAAATCAAAATAAAAGAATTCATTGGATTTAGTTGGGTGGTCGTCGTCGGGATATCTTCTTGAAATTTATGCGTCAAGAACGTAACTCGGATTTAGCCAGATTCTACATATGCGTTGAGTTTCGGTTTGGCACATTCACACAGCGTTAAATTAGGATTTACCAATATTTTTGTGCAACAGTATTTTTTAGATAAAGTCCGGATGAAAAATTCAGTCCTAAACTTACTAAAATGGAATCGTCGTGTTCTCATGTCTTTGGCTATTGTAAAATACCCACAATTTCTACTCAAGTATACAAAGAAGAATGCACGCAGTGTTTTGATTCACAGGTGAGTATCTGGCTGCGCAGCCTTATATCATGTTTTTAACTAAATTCATTTTTTTATATATTCAACTTTTTTTTATTAGGATCTCGCACCTGGAATCGACGTGTGCCTAACTTGTTTTAATGCAGGATGCAACAATTCTGAAAGACGTCATGCCCAAATCCATTATGAAAAGACAAATCATCCATTAGTATTAAACATCTATCGATTAATCAAAGACAAACCTAAGAGGGTACATTTGAATTATATTAAAATACCCCGTTAACCACTCTAGTTAATTATAACTTATTACATATTTAGGCTGATGAGAACGAGGAACCACCTCAAAAGATCAGTAAACTCGCAATTATTCCCGAATCTGAAAAGGACAAATACGAATTTATCACACATGTAAAATGCTATGCTTGTGGGGGTATTGAGATCGATAGGACTTCTGGTGATGTAAGTAAAAAAAATATATGATTTTCGCATTACATGTCCAGTTTCCCGATTGTTAAACTTGTTCTCTTAAACAGCTGCCCGTTGTAGTCGATGCTGTAATGACGTCTACGTCGGCTGCAAGGCAATCAGAAATAAAAGCATGGGAAGAAGAAATTGGTGAATGTGATCATACACGTGATTTAGTGCAAGAACAGCCGAGGGCCTTGGAATCACAAGGTATGGAGTTGTGTTAAGTTTTTAGGTATTAAATATTAATATAAATCCATTTTAAAAATACTGTTAAAATGTTGTAGCTCTAGCACATTGTAATGACTGTGATTTAAAAGAAAATCTTTGGCTGTGCTTAGTTTGTGGCAACCTCGGATGCGGACGGCAGCAATATGGTGGGTTAGGTGGAAACGGGCACGGCTTAGCTCATTATGATAAAACAAAGCATGCGATAAGTTGTAAATTGGGAACGATTACTCCAGAAGGCACTGCAGGTGAATGTTTACATACAAAAATAAGTTTCAATTAGTTTTAAGAGAAATCAATTACTAAAAATTTAATTTAATGAATTTTCATAAGACATATACTGTTATGAATGTAATGAAACGAGATTAGACCCATTTTTGGACAAACATTTAGCTAATTTTGGGATCAATGTTGCCTCACAACAAAAGACAGAAAAGAGTATGACGGAGCTGGTAGGTATACAACATGGTTTAGTTTTCTTGTAATATTCGATATTATATGTAATTTATTTTTTTTAGCAAATTGAGCAAAACCAACTGTTTAATTGGAGTATGGAAACAAAGGACGGTAAGAAACTTGACCCCTTATTCGGACCCGGTTATACCGGTATTAAAAATTTAGGTAATAGGTAAGGGTATATTTCCGTTACACAATTTAACTATACATAAATGATACTTCTGATTAATTATATTTTGTGAAAAGTTGCTATATGGCATCTGTTCTGCAATCCATATTTTCTTTGGATGTTTTTCAACAAAGGTACGTAATGGATAACCAGATAATTTAGACTGATCATTACTCAGACAACTAAAGAAAAATTTGTAAATAAGGTATTACCCTACTGCTATGGAACACCATACGCAATGCACGTACGATAATCCAGCAAGCTGTATTCAGTGTCAATTATCTAAACTTGCCGATGGTTTATTGAGTGGTCGCTATTCCCAACAACCGGAGCAAGATGGTATATCACCAAGCATGTTTAAGACACTTATTGGGAAAGGACATGTCGAGTTTTCCACGATGCGGCAACAAGTTTGTACCTAGTTATTATATACTCACATGATATGGCTATTCGGACTTATATAATCGAAAGTTACGGTTATTCGTTTAAATAGGATGCTTTTGAATTCTTTCAACATCTTATTATGACAATTGAACGCAAGGAGCATAATAACCCAGGAAATGATCCGACAAAAATATTTAAATTCACAATTCAAACGCGTCTGCAATGTGTAGAATGTAAACGAGTTCGATATAAGGACAGCACAGAATCATCCATTTCAATATCAGTACCCGCGAATAAGATTGAACCAAATGAGAATAACGAAGCTAAATACGAGCCTGTGAATTTCGAACAATGCTTACAGTCGTTTGCTGCAGATTCGGCAATTGAATATATGTGCCCAGCATGCAATAAAAAGACTGTTACTATGACGTATGTTTATTATTATGAATTTGTTCAATTTTCATTTGTTTACTTACTTTGCTATGTACTTTTTAGACATACAAGATTTTTAACATTTCCTGAAGTTCTCGTAGTCCATACACGAAGATTTGAAGAAGAAAATTGGGTTCCTCGTAAAATTAGTAAGAAATTTAATTTTGTAAAATTATTTTTTATTCACTATTTGTTTTATTTAAATTAATTTGTAATTTTTAGCTGTTCCCATTCTGTTTGAGCAAGATTGCTATAACTTTGACAAATACATTGCTCATGGGCGACAGGATAATGAAGAACTTCTTCCAGAAGAGTCACCTGCAGGTTGGTATACCTTATATATAAATATATATAATTGTGGCCATTAAAATTGATACACTCGAAACTACTTTATCAGCGCCTTCAATTAATGAATCGGACCTTAATAAGCTACTTGAAATGGGTTTTCCTGAGAACCGATGCAGAAAAGCATTGATTGCTACTGGAAATAATGGAGCTGATATAGCAATGAATTGGTTATTTGAACATATGGATGATGCAGGTTGAATTTTTATTTTATAATATTACTCTTGTAATGCTTGTAATCTTTATACGAAGCATACTAATTTCATGCAAATCATATCAAGATATTGATGCGCCAATTTCAGGTTCTACATCCGTATCTAATGCACAGGAACCTTCAAAAGATGATGTCTCCATATTAATGACTATGGGATTCTCAGAAGCACGAGTTAGGAAAGCTTTATCAGAGACAGTTAGTAATGTTTTTTCGCATTTTTTATTGAGATCATGTTCTAATCCATATATTAACTGGAAACTTTTTTTTTTTCAGAATAATGACGTGAATCGTGCTGCTAACTGGCTCTTTAGCCATCCTGAGGATGTGTCTGATAGTTCACAAGTTGATGACACTAACGTCATTAATACTTTTGGAGGTCATTAATATTTCTAATTCATCCAATTCGGCTTTGTGTAATTGATTGTTTTCATAATCTGAATAAAAATTTTCACTTTAGATTCTACTTTACCTGCTGACTATCAACTTCAGTGTGTCATTTCTCACAAAGGTACATCTGTACACTGCGGCCACTATGTTGTTCACATACGTAAGGATCAAAAGTGGGTTTTATTCAATGACAACAAAGTTGCAGAAGATCCTCAACCTCCTCTTGGAGATGCTTATGTCTATATTTTGAGGAGAGTGCGCTCTTCGGACATGAGGGTTTAAATTATTTCAAATAACTCCAATAGCTCTAGCTAATTTCAATTATTATTGGAATTCAGTTATAGTCTAAGTAAATAAAGAACAAAAAAAAAATAAATAAAATAAACATTCGATACAATTTAAAAATTATCAAATAAAAGTAGACCATTTTAATTTATTTTGCTTAGGACTGATCTAATGATGTGATGCATCACTAAAACTACCCCAGCATCGCCACAAAAATTCTACTGTCGCGTGACGATCGACAGTAAGTTAGCAAATAGCGGGTCGCGATTTGATGTAACGTTACACGATCAGGAAGATCAAAACAAACGTTCGCTTTTTTTCAAAATTGCTTATTTCTCGAA